TTTGCCCTGCCATCAGTGCAAGGTAGAACTGAAGCTCCCATCCATCACTGACTGGACACTGGGCCTGCCTGACATTTCAGCCCTTTTTGGGGGGCTTCTTCCACTGAACAGTGGACCCAAATTTACTGTGTTTTGCCTCCAGTTATTCCTTTTGTGCAACCTGAGGTTTTCTGATGCTGTAGCAAGACAAGTCCCCTGTGAAGCCACACATACACTGAGGACGAGGTCCCAGACGAGGTCGCACTAGTGGAAGGTCCCACCAAGGAGAACCACTCAGGTTCCAAGTCCATCAGGACGCCAAAGGGCGGACTTGGGCAAATTCAGTCTCAGATGTGTGAGAAATGTGCAGTTCTCCTCCTTTGCCTCTGGGAGCCCCCTCTTGTGATAGATTGATACAGGCATGCGGAGGCAATCAGTAAACTGCCTACCCTTACTTTGTGAATATGGACTGCTCAGGGCATTCATTCCAGTAGTTGTCAGCAGGATGATGGAGCAGTACTGAGAAACGAAGAGTATCCCTCTGGTTGGGATATATATAGATAGGAACTGCCTAAGCTGTTGAGCTGGTAAGGTAGCTACCAGTGGGTTGAATTCATTGTGGAGAGACACTGTGTGGTAGATAGTGTCCTTACCAGCCAAGAGACAAGACTGCCCTGGAGACAGGGATTCTGGCACATTGAGAGGTCTGACCAAGGGCCAAGATTTTTTTTTCTGCTTTGAGACCACTCCAGAAAGAATTTGCATGCATTTTTTTTTCTTATTTCCTTCCACACATCTCTTTGCTGCAACCTCTGAATAAGGTCCAATTGGTTTACAAATTTCTTTGTGCTGTCTGGCTGTTCACTGTCATTCCCAATGGGGAAACTGGTCATACAGAAGGTATTCAGCAAAGTATGGGGAGGAGGAATGAAATCTGGTAGGAATGCCTGGGGAAGCTGCCACTAATGCCTGAGATGTAGAGAGAGGGTCAGCACACCTTGAGGCTCCCAAGTGCGTGTGAAATCCAGGTGTAGTTTTCTGGTTGGTTTCTTCCCACCAGAAAGTGAGGGAATCCTTCACCCTTCCAGCTCTGCTCTTTTAACGCTGGATTTTTGTTGCTTGGCACTTCCTAATTCTGTAGATAGTTATTTGTTCACTGAATTTTCTCACACAAGCTGGGAAGCAGAGTCCTTCTGTGAGCTTTAATGTATCTGTGTGTTTTAATAACAAATTACTGTTGATTTTATACAAATATCCCTATTTTAGAACTTCAGAGTCTTTGGTGTTTCCCCCCACCCTCCAGACTCTGTATTTTTTGCTGCTGCTGTTGTTGACACTCCTGTGCAATTCAGCCTTGGAGAAACAAATATTTGTTTACCTGTTCTCCTGCTGTGCCTGCTCAGTGCATTTGCTTAACGATGACTTCTGTTCAGCTTTGCAAGGGTTTTAGGGCAATAGATTCTCCCAGAAAAACAAGAGACTCATTTGTGGACAACCTTACCTGTGTTCTTTCCCCCTTCTTGCCTCCCCCCCTCTTTTCCCCAGATCAGAGTTTGATTAAATAAATGTGCATGCAAAAGGCTCTTTCTTTTGCCATGATAATACATGGCTTTTCATAGCCTTTGTTTCAGCATTATCAGTTGCAAAGATCAGTTCTGGTGAGGAGTCAAAGTTTTGCCTGTTTATTTCTCCACTCCATTTATCTTGACTTGAAACAGTGAGTAGAAGGTTGGACTCAGGCAAGTACCTGCTGTCCTTTCTTGTCATTAGTTGAATTTTCTTGAATCTATAATTTTCTTCTTTTCGTCTAAAACATCAACTTGCAGGCTGGCTTATAACATTTACTCTAGAGCGAAGCCCAAGCTGCTGTTTCAAAACCTGCATGTGTTCATATTTGAAAGGTTTATGTTATGTTTTCTCTACTTCAACTTTTTTGAGTCAAGTTAGAGATTTTACTTTTTACTCAAGACATCAAATTGGTCTATGCCATCAGATTTTTTCAAAATGAGGACAAAGTTAGCCTCCAAAATCTACATTTATGCACTTAAATTAAGGTTCAGCTTTTTTTATTCCTGGAAGTGCAACACTACTTGGCAAAGAAATGAACAGGTGATTTTATTAATGCCATTGCCATTTCAAGTAATTTTGCACAGCTGAAACTGGAACTCTTCTATTAAAAAAAAAAAAAAGGAAAAAAACACCCCAAACCCCCCAAAAAACCCAAACCCCACAAAAGAGAATTATAGAAATTCAAACTCTGGAAAGATCTTAATTTTGTTTTCTTTTTCTGGCCATTTATAAAACCTTCTTTGAATTATTTAAACTACTTATGCCTCACTTCTGAAATATGGCAAGTATAATTTTGCCAATAACTAGATCCAACTTCTGAGCTATTTTCTGCCAGAAAGCAAAAATCACTTCAGTGAAGTAATACATCAGACTCTCTCTTCATCTATTTCCAGCTGATGAGGTTTCAGCTTATAGCAGAGATTGTTTTTTATTAGGCCCTGAGTACGTGACCTGGCACTTGTGCAGCTGAGTTTCATCTGCTACTATCACTCTGGTCCTCGAAGTCATCCCACTGCTTTTTTTTGGTATGATATTCAGAGCCTTCTTCATAATGATGATTCATACCACAGTGTGTCATCAGCAAATTTTGTTGGCATGGTCCTCCTTTACCGTGCCAAGAACTGTGATGAAAATATTATGTAAGATTTATCTCAAGAATCATCTATGAGGAATTCAACTCATAACCTTCCTCTAGCCTGACTGAAATAATGGGAAATAGAGCTGAAAAGGACCTCGAGTCCAAATTGTATCCCAAAGGTGTGAACTATACTGAGCAGATACTTGTCCAATTTGTTCTTAAACATAGTTGATGAGATTCCATAATCTTCATAGATACTCCATATCAGTAACTTAGTCGCCTAACCACTGGAGTACTTCTGTCCCTAATGTCTGCCCTGAATCACTTCTCCGACATTTTCCTTGTTTTCACTGTGCCAAATACAGCCACAGAGTTAGCTCATTCCCCTTGTGAGTGATGCTTCTGCTCACAAACCACAATACCATGTTCTGACACGTTTGTTGTCTTCTTCCTTTGAGCTGGCTCCATACACCCATATTCACCAGCTGATGCTTTCGTGCATTAAAAGTTCCACCACAAGCATTCATTTGAACACGAAGCACTATCCATTGAAATCAGTTTACTTGACTTATGAAGCAATCCCCAAAGCATGATCATCTTCCTTTATGTTTCTGAATTTTAACTGAAGACAAAGCTTCCTTCAGTTTCAGGGTCTCAGTAGTCTTTTGAAGGCTTCTTTTGCAGGAAGTCAGAGAACATTCCCTTTTGTAGACCTCCTTAAGTATTTTATTCCAGATATCAAATTAACAATTAATTTCCCCATCAGTCCTTATGAGAGCTTTACCTCCCTGTCCCATGGGTATTCAGAATATCCTCAAGGTTTCTGCCATGTAATTTGGAGGAAATTATATGATATGTACATAGCAGAATACATTCTGTGTACAATTTACCACACAGCTAAATATTATGTTACCACAAAGACAACAAGTTGCATTTGGAAACTCCTATATATAATGCTAATAAGAAACCCGATTCCATCTTATTCTAATTAACCTGCAAAACCTTTCTTTTTCTATGAGAGAGACTTCAAAACATTCAGAATGTCAATAAACCCACAGGTATTTCCATTCTTTATATCTTCTGGTATACACTATTCATCAAGAATTGTTGCTCATTTCAGTATTAGTCTGATTTTCTTAGTCTAGAGAAGTTTAACATTTTGAACCACTGCATCTAATTTTTTTTCAATAAGAAAGAAGTCTTATTTTCCCTGTTTTTGATAAGAGATGGAGTTGATAAATACTAACGTTCTGTTAGCAAGAAAAGATACTGGTCTTAAGGTTCAATAGGAGGACCCTGGATAGCTCAAAGAATTCATCATGGGCACAATGACTGAACAGTAAGCTATCTTAAGGGTCCTTTATGTTTCACTGGCAACGTAGAAGCCTTAAAGCAGGAGATATTAAGGCCTTTTATGCAACAGATCCAAGTTGGATCTGCTAAGCGCTTTTTTTTCTTGTGCTGAGACCAGATTGACTCAGTCTAATGGTTATGAGGTTTGTGAATAGAGTCTGATAACCAAAATGAAATCAGAGCCTGTTTTTCTGTCTAGCTGGTAGGAACAAGCTCTGAGACTTCAATCAACCTGAAGATGAGCTCCCCTTTAGTCTCCAGATGTCATGCCTTCAAAGGAGAGCTAAAAATCATTTATGGAAATACTTGGATCCCTCCCCTCCACCCATCAAATGAATAGTCATAAAGCTGTAGGGTTCTTAAAGCCAGATCTTCAGCAATAGCACAAAATACTGCCTTTTATACTGTGCTGCTAATGCTGTAAAATAGTGCAGTATATTCTTCCACCCAGAGAGCAGCACCCAGTTAACATTTAAGTTAGTGAAGTGGAAATTTGTGTGACCTAATATAAGAACCAGTCAAATGTCTTAAGTGAGAAAGTTTCACTAAAACGTAAATGCCACTGTATTTCTACTTTGCTTAAAAGAGTCCAGGGTAAGGGGTGGGGGAGAATGGTTGTGATACAGGGGAATGCAGTAGAGAGAAGGAACCCAATATCCAAATAATAGTCCAGCTTAACTTTTGAGAACGGAGGGTCTGGAATGTTCACTTTCAACTCACGCATATTGACAGGCTTTCTTTGTGTTATCCAAAAGGGGAGGAGAAAAGCTGATGTTACTAGTGAACGGAGATGAATTTTGTGAAAGTCTGCAAGGTATTATTTATAGTCTGTGTGCCAGAACTGTGTTTCCATTAATGGTCTCTCCAGGCCATGCTCAAAAAGTAGCACAGTCTCATATAGTGTAAAGGAGATTTGGTGATGTGAACTTAACTGTTTTCTGTTTTAACAGAGTCCTTCCCAACCCTTCCCTTGTTCCACTCATGAACTCTCTTCATGTCTTTTTTGTTCTTCCTCCTGCAGTCCAGTACATCGTTCAACAGAGATGCTGTGAAAGCAGGGACAGGCCGGCGTTTTCTTGGTGGGCTGTTAAATGATACATCCTACTGCTACACTCTGGAAGTCTCATTCTACAGCTACATATTGGGTGGACCTACGTCTGCTGTCCCCTACACAGAAGAAGCATGTATCCTTTTGAAATCCTTCCTCCTCTTGCAGCACACGTGAACTGGGCACTTAAGGTAAATACTTCTATCTCAATAAGAGTTTGCTGAGATAGGAACACACAAGTGGAAATGTGAGTCTGCTCCTGATGCTTTAATTTCCCTCATATTGATTCTCCATACTGTGGAAATTCAAGAAGAGAAAGGCATATTAGATCAAATAAGCCATTTCCCTCTTGTAGGATATTGTCTCACACACATATTATAGAAACTACTTCTGGAGAGCCTCTGATCCATTCCTTTCCACAGTCTTCCATTTCTTTCTTTGTTTCTCTCCTTATTTTCTCATTATCCCTGTGTTTGTATTATTGTTTTAATAGCAAGTTGAAAGTGCATCTTTGGTACTGAGTTACAGTATCTTCTCTGCCTTTGAACTGCAGCCAAAAGGCTCTAAAGGATCCATTACCTTCCGCAGCTGCCTCAGGGCCAGGTCTTTAATGCTAGTTGACAAAAAAAATGGAAAGTGAGTTCTGCAAGCAAAACTGACAAAGTTGTCCACATTTTTGAGTGCTCAAATAGAAGCAATGTCTCATTCCTCAAAAAACACGCATCCATCTGGCTATCTCAATGTATCAACAATTTGTAGAATTGTTCTGACTGGTCTTATGATCCATTTTTGTTTTTCTTTTTGTCACCATGCTCAATCAAATAACCAGTGCCCATACTTCAAGCTTGGGTGTGTTGTTTCATTTTGTCATTCTATCTTGGTAGCTTTTGAAATTTCCACAGGTTTAGAAACACTGCAGAGGGAGAAAGATTAGCTGTGATTGCCTATTTAACTCTCCACTGCATTTTGGAAGTTGGGGAAGGTTTACAGCTTTAGGGTAGTGAGGGGGAAATTTTCATGAGAGACATAATTCGTTACCATCCATGCATATGTACACACTGTGTGGGAATAAGAGCGAGAAACAGGGAGCAGGGAAAGTAATTCTTAATCATTTGGGGTTTTCTGGTTTGGCTTCTCCACTGAAAGTGAACTTTGGGGGAAGGAGGGAGATTAATATATTAGGGTGACTTATCAGACTTGAGCATTTGGAATACAAGCTCTCTTTTGCCTAGTAAGGTTAACTATTTCCAAGTAACAGCTTCTTGCGACATACACTTATGTACTACATCTGGCCACTGAGGAAAAAATTGTCATTACTGTTAGGTTTAGGTATTTATTTTCTTATGTTGGTATTTTGGTGTTTTAAGAACGTGTGCCTTAGTTTCACCTTTAATTTTCCTCCTCACTTAGTACTCATTGTACTGACAACTCTTTATTTATCTTCCTTATTTATCAAGAACAGTTTCTGCAGAGAGGGGTGGGAAGAGTCCCTATATAAATGAGATCATGATTCCCTTGAATACGTTTTTCTTGATGACTTGTAGGTCATGCCAGTTTAGTTTCCTTTTCCATAAAGACTTTTGTTTTGTGCTTCACATTACAGAGGTTTCAGGTGTGGTGTCTAACATCTCTATTTGCTTGGATTGCCTTCTGCAGACAAAGCTGCATCATTCTCAGTTCATTCATTGTGACCATCAGCAGCTGGCGCGCAGAAAACAGGCCCCAGATCACAGAGATCCTTCTTGGTGGTGATCTATGGAAAGCTCAAGCAGCAGCTTGATTTCTACAGTTACAGTTTCACCTTGCTGAGTGAAAAAGGAGGAGAAGCTGGTTTTGACTGGCCTGGCAGACAGCAAGCAGGGAAGGCTCTTTGCCCATGTAGTATGCTCCACTGGCATTTTGCCCTGGTAGGTTTTATTATTTCCTTTTCAATGGAGGGATTCTATCAAAAGTGCTGCTTTGACAGCTCTTCTTCATGTGTGCAGTTTCCTAGTTAGAGGAGGAAATGGAGCTGCTTGAAGCAGTCTCTAGGCTGGTCTGCTCTAACACAGGAATGGCTGGATTTATGCACATCCTACCCTGGCAGGGGAGAAGTTTCATATCACCGAAGTGCCTGTGACCAACAGTAAAACCATTGCAGAACGTTCCAGTTTAGCCTGAACAGCTCTTCCAAGCTGTTTGCAAGTCAGTGATTAATTAATGCTCAGATTTTTTAATGGACCTGAACCAAAGACACAGCCAGTCAGTTCATATTGGCCTCCAAGGACAGGCGTGCTTCTGTTAACTATCTAGCTACATGCAGGCAGCAAGTCAAGCAAATAAATGAAGAAAATACGGTGAGCCCCAAAACGGTGAACTGATAGGGCTGTCGTGGTTTAACCTCAGTTGGCAACTGAGCACCACACAGCCGCTCGCTCACTCACTCCCCTCCCCACCCCGGTGGGATGGGGGAGAGAGTTGGAAGAGAAAAAGAAGATACAGAGTGGTGGCTTGAAACAGATAAACAGATTCAGATAATGAAAACAAACACAACATTGGTAGCTGCTACATACATTCCCTTATACACAAACCAGGAGCACATATTATATCTCTAGTTGATGGCTGATCTCTTCCTCCCCGCCCCCAGTAGCCTGACTGCAGTTACAGTGAAGGTTTGCCTACATAGCTAGAGATGACTATGCAAGGCAGGGAATTCATAGTATTTGCAAACTGTCTGTTGTTGAATACCTGGGAACATCTAAGAGCAGCCAACTGCTCCCTTGCATTTGCACAAGTTAAGGCAGTTTGACTTCAGTGTGCTGCATTGACAGCTTACCTGGAAGTCATCTGGAAGTGGTCCATAAGGGAAACTAACATTTAATGCTTTCACATCATCTCTCTTTCTGATATCCGTCCAGGGGTTGTACGCCACAGAAGGTAGTTTCTCAGGCACCCAGGGATCTATCCATACAGTTGGTCCATTCCACCCTTTCAACCTTCAACTGAAAAGTATGAAAATGATAAGACTTGTTCAGGAAATCTGCATTCAAAGATGTATTTCTTAGGACTTTGTTCATCCCGCTGTGATGTTATTGGGTTGTGGGGTGTTTTGTTTTGTTTTCTTTCTAATAGAAACAGGATCAGGGAGGCTAGAATTTTTCAAAGCTTCTACTGTTGGATTAAGAAGTGCAGACTGAGATTCAGCCCCAAATTCAGGGAACCCATGGCCTTGAACAGAGACTACAAAGCAAATCACACCCCACATTCAGACACTAGCCATACTAGCTCCGTGTAGAGACCAAAACAAATTAGGATCTCCAGATCCTAAAAAAATATTACTTTAGTCTAATGTTGTTCCTGTTGACAGGTGAGAAAACTGAACAAACTCTGAATAGTCTTCTGTTTGCACTGGTGGCATGTAATTCTACCTGTCAGCTTCTTTCCCTTAAAGCATTCGTGGCAAATAAGATCATGGTACTACCCCCTTTCATGACATTATATAAGTGGATTAGGTTTGTTGGGATTTTCTTTTTTTTTTTTAATCTCTTCAAGTTCCTCAGGGTTTACATGCTAACTTTATGATCTATACAGACCTCTATGTGAGCCTGTAATAGATATATTTCTACATTGGGTAAGATAATGCATTTTGTTCAGACTTGTGTGACTGAAACATACTTTGTAATTATTGAGATAAATGGATACCTTACATGCATGAAAATGGGAGACAGACTTTCAGTCTGATAAGTGTTATTTGAATTCTGACATTGTTAGTGTGGACAGTAATTTTTTTCAATAAGAAAAGTAAGAAAATTTAAAAAAGGAAGGGAAGGTATCATTAAAAGTGGAAATCTGTTCCAAATTACTCCAGTTAGTATGACTGAAAGTATTCTCCTATATGAAATACCTCAAAGATTCAGAATTTAGAGGATTACACCTGGTATGTTCTATAAAAACAAATTTGCCCCTGAGGCCACACTACTTAAATGAAATCCAGGAGTGAAGGATCTTCCATCAGTCTGTGCAGGGCATATATGTTTGGGACATATACGGTGGGATAACAGCATCCTGCAGAGTGTTGAATTTCTGGCGTCTTCTAACATAGAGAGTTAACATGGTTGCATGAATGTCTCAGGCCTCAATTAGCATTATATCAGTAATGGTTACTGCCGGAATGTTTCTTGTATTTTCATCCTGCAAACAAAGCACTGCATCAGGTGTAACTTCCTGAATGTCCTGTTATACATTCCTTCAGAGGTGTGTGCCTGGTAGGTCTGTGTCTAACTGGTATGTACCTAGTGTACGAGAAACATTAGGGATATGTTGTATAAGCCTGGCTCTGCAGAATACCCTACGGTAACATGTGCTGTAGGTAACAGTGAATGGACTCTGTTTCGAAGGCATAATAACGGGATTGTAGGCTTGTCGGTTAGCTGCCTGGAAGTGGACAGAGAAATGTTTAAAACCCTTCTCACACACACACACATTTGGTGGTAACTGATTAAAAAGGCAGTGCAGCAACAGTTTGCTCAGCACCAGGTAAAGAAGCTTTAAAATGAGCCGATATGTTTCCATTAAGTACCACATTTTACTAGGCATTTACAGGGCTTATGACACAAGGCATGTAAACTGCTTTGTAACATTCACCACCAGCAGCTCAACTGCTGAGCTCTCTAGATACACACCAGCCTCATAGCTGGGCAGGGAACAAAGGATAAAAGAGGGGGAGGAAGGATGAATCCCCAGCTGTAGGACTCTGAGCGCTGCTCTGATAGCACACCCAGAATTGCTTTTCACTACAGCTGCTGATCAGCAGCTGTCACAGCCTGACCTGAGAGTGGCCAGTAAAGGAGTCTCACATCAACAATTTTAAAATCTATTGGGTTCATTTTTTAGAGTGTTTGAACTGGATCCCCGCTGCACAGCAGGCAGCCCATAAAAGAGCATAGAAGGTTTTACTCTTCCAAAGACTAGCAATGAGGTAGGAAGATAGAAATGATGGAGACTAGGCAAGAACTGGGATGATTGTAGCCTGGTAGCTGTAGGGGAGAATAATCATCAAGATGGGTGGGCACCACAACTGTCAGTGAGTCCATGGCTTTTTTTGTGTATTTTAATCTTAATTCTAAGCTTCCTCCAGGTGGGGAAGGCCCTTATCCA